TTTTTTGGTGGCTTGCAAAATTATTACCAGATAGTTATTGGTGATGAATTCTTCAGGAATTAAGCAATATACATTAGTAGATCTTGAGTTCACATTAATAAATATTATTGCTTTCTCAAAAGTTTAATGAAAAGAATCATAATTATTTGTAGTTGGATTATGAATCACGTGTTTTAATTTCTATTTATTGGATCAATAAATATATGTGCATGAAATAACGTTCATATACGTAAATGCAGCACATAATCACTAAAAACATTTGCATACTTGTATACGTAAAGTGAATAAAGATGGTAATGCTACTTTTGTCGGAAGACATAATGAAACCCGTTAATCCGAAGAAGGATAAATCAAAGACCAACTACATGTATATCGCTAATTTCTTAATTTAATAGTTGCTCAGAATGTATATAATCAAAAGCTCTTGACTGAAGTTAGATAAGAATGATTAACTAATAATTATCGATGTTAATTATTTATATTCATATGAGCCTCATGTCAGATAAAGAGAACACGTGAAACGTTACTGATTTAAATATACGGTATACACTTCTCCAAATTATAATAATAAGCATAAAAAATGTCAATGATTGATGAAATTATTTTTTCGAAAGCAAAAACTTTTTTCTCAGCATTGTACAATAGTTTTCTTTCAATTAAAACAAGGCAATTCCCAGATTTGATTATGAACTTGGAATAAAGGATTGGACTCATAAAATAAGAATCCACGGAAACAGCATCAACCTTTTCATAAATATCGCAACAAAAAATCCACTGTCTCTATTAGCAAATCCGATGAAAGTAAAGCAAACATATGGTTCAAAAAAGCTATAGCATCTAGAGATTTGTTCACGTAAATGAACTAGGACAGCTTTTTGAAAAAATAATAAATGTTAATTATATGAGAAAGCGGCGAAATCTGGACGGAGAGTCAGTCTATATAATTCAGGAAGACTTATTCATTGGGGTCAGAATATTGAACAGAATATTGAACAGAATCTCGTTTCAGCGTATTATTTCAAGCTTGCTGACAATCTGGAAATTTGGATGACAAGGCAAGGATATATATTCCCGATATAAGAATCGCACAAGATTACCCACGAGATTGTTTTTTAATAGATTACAATTTATTTTAACGGAATATTGCTTAAAAGGAAACTTTAATTGATTTACGTAGTAACAAATTTTATAGCATTCTTCAAAATTAACATGACAAAATAGAAAGAATTACATGTAAATGAAAAAGTCTCGGAAATTACAGATGTTTTAAGAATTTGATTAATTTAGAAACTTTACCGAAAATTTACTTTGCATTTGCCTGCCTGAAACATCAAATATTACATATTTCAGGTATACTTTATAAATTTCTTTTCTAGCAAACAAGAGGTAATTACAAATAAAAAGATTTAATGTACACATACAATTTGAACTATATTAATATTTAGTAACATGCTAGTTAAAAGAACTTTTTGTATAATACATGTATGCTTTTACTTAGAACTTTTAACACGATCTTTTTCACAACAACATACACATCTGCATTCTTGGACCCATTTACAATAAACCTTGTCCCAGACCCATCGCATATCAACCTTATTTAACCCTCCTTCGCAGTCCCCACATGTCTTGGGATCTATAGGACACGCTTTCCAAGCACCAGCAGAAATAGGCTCCATACCCCTTGGACAAAAACAACATTTCTCTTTTTCTTCACAACATTTCTCATCCTTTTTCTCATCCTTTTTTACTTCCTCTTTTACTTCCTCTTCATAAATTTTAGGTAAGCATTAAATAAATTAGCATAGTTAGCAAATTGTAAGTAAATGATTTTGAAGTTTGTTAATTGATGAACTGTGAGTATTAATGAATTATATTAATGTGTATTCACCTGCTGAAACAAATGCGCAAATAACCATAAGAATTAGGCATAAGAAAA